CGTATAAATCTATTGGCAGATCATAAATTTAATTCGAATTTCACTAATAGATTTATATGACACGTCGTTGGTACTAATATAAGGTAAGAATCGGTATTCAGTGGATCGTTTATGATGATATTATATACTGTATTCTTTTTCAAATTACATCCGCTAATAAACGAAAACAATTATAAATGTTAAATCAAATTGTATGGTCCTGTGAAATCTAAAAATACGATTCAAGGAAGACTATAAAGAAATTAATGAAGACAGTTCCTGGTTCTTTTGGCCTGCATATATCAAGAAATAACTGTGAATGATAGATAATTAAGCTTCAATGTGTGATGTATGCAAATAATTAATCAACCATTTTATTCGATGGAAATTGGAAGAGTTAAAATGAAAATGAAATTACTTAGGTAAGGAATTTATTTATTGATTATCTCAAACTCTCCTAATTATAAAAATATGAGAACTAAGACCATCTCCAATCCTGTACAAAAATTTGAGGCAAGTTTTGCACCATTTTGTACCAAAGTTTGCACAAAATGAGAATCATCTTCAAGCCATTATAACAAAAGTTGCACTAAATGAACAACGTTTAATTATTTTTTAGTATTTTTTTTTTCATTCTTAAAGATTTATTTATCTAAATATAAATTATCAAATAAATAATTATGTTTGATTAACTAAAATATTGAATACATTAATAAATTTAAAAAATGTAGTATATTATCATTATTAAGAATTAAAATTTGTTGTATAGCAAAAAAAATGATAAAAATACCCTTAACAAAAATTTTGGTCAATATGAAAAAGAGGGGCAAATAGGACATTAACTATTTTGGTGCAAAATTGTGTAAGTGAATAGTGGTGCAACACTACTTATTTGTACAATTTTAAACAATTTTGGTGCAAATTATGGAGTTGGGTTGGAGAGAGATTTCACCAAATTTTTGGTGCAAAATGGGGAAATGGTGCATGGATTAGAGATATCCTAAGAACAATGATGACGGAAAAACGTTTTAAAAAATATTTCATTAGGACATCTCCAACCCATGTGAAAATGAAAAATGTTTAACAGAAATTAAAATGAATGACGACTATGACAAACAGTTGAACGAAACCAAAATGAAAAATAAATACCCATATAATATTCTTATATAGTAAATTTAATGAATCCTAACTGAACTTTAAGATTATTACTATTTACTCATTGAACTTTAACCGATTACTTAATACTCACTCATTTTTATAGATAATTATCCATTCATCACTCTTTTAACTCTCATCTCGCCAAATAGACAGAAAATTACACGTGGATTACAGAATTCTAATGTGGCAAATAGTTTTCTTTAAATATTGCCAACTTGTAATGAACGATGACTTCACATCCAAATTCACTCTCTAGCCCTCAACATATCACGACATCCCTCTTCTAATTTTTCTCATGAACCATACTATTCCAAATCCAAATTTCTCTTCTTCAAAATTATCCCTAAAATCAGCCTCATTACAGTAAGGTCTGGGCATTCTTCTCTGAATAATGGAGGACATAGATGATCCACAAGACCCTCATCTAAAATACAATAATTGTATGGAAGATGCACTATTGGGTGATGACCCACAAGACCCTCGTATGTTTTAAGAATTCTCCATTTACAGTGAAATCTTTATTGTTTGATGGGGAATAAAGCTGAAATTAAGTTATTAATCTAATGTTTCTTTCTGTATGATTGAATTGATCTCTGCATAACTTGGGGAAAAAAGTCTCCACTCCAATTTGATGCATCACAGCAATCTAATGCACCACAAGTTGAATTCTCAGCAACTTCTTAAAACTTTACGGCAATCTGATGCACTCAATCTGCTAATACACCAGATTTATGCACCTCAATCAATAGCTTCTTAAAACTTGCTGGTGCGGTGGCTCCCAAATGCAAAGAAGTTATTCCACCCATTCTGATATGCAAATATTGATTAAGAAGAACTAGTTTTCTTGGACCATTTCAGTGGAAGTCCTTCATACACTTACCAAATGAGTAGCAAAAATGCCTCCCACCGCTTTATCCCCTTTCCTCGTCATTAACTTGGTCGTCGCCACCGCAGCAACACCACTTTGACCTCATTTTTACATGGAAACTTGCATGGAAGTTGAACATCTGGTCAGGATTTGAAGATTGGGGGATTTGATTATAAGATTTTGATTTGAGTTAATAAAGGCGTGTTTGTTTGGTGTGTTCTTGGTGACTTAGACATAATTAGCGTCGTCACTATGCCACATAGAATTTCTATCATCCACTTGTAATTTTCTCTCTCTTTGGAGAGACGAGAGTTAAAAGAGTGGTAGATGAGTAACTATATATAAAAATGAGTGAGTATTTGATAACTCGTTAAATTTCAGCGTGTAAGTAGTAATAATTTTAAAGTTCAATAAGGATTCATTAAATTTACTCGATTCTTATATGTCCAATCGAATCATCGACACAAACACATAAGTAAACATGTAAAAAGTACAACTCGAAGATGCGACCATTGCAGAGGATGAAGAATAGTACTGAGAAGGGAGCAAAAGAAGCAATATATTGTCTACGTGAGACGAGAGTCGGTAGACGCGCGATACATAGGATTCCCACCTCCTAAAGAGCTACTGTAGGAAAGTTTGTTACACCAACAAATTAAAAAATAAAAATAAAAAATAAAAAAATGAAAAAAATTCATAAAGACCGCAGTAAAATTTCCCCGAAAACTCTTTATTCACCTTTTCTTCTTCGTCTTCATTACTCTCTACTCGCAGCGTTGCAATGATTCCCGCCACTCCCCTTTCCCAGTAAAACCCGAACTCCACTCTCCTCTTCAGGTAAATTCGCCAGTTAATCACAGAGCCCTTAGAATTTTCTGTAATTTAATGAGGATGAAAGTTTTGAGTTTTGTTCATTTTCTGACCTTTTTATTTCATGATCGATGGATCTGCGTAGGGTTAACGTGTTACTATACCTTTTGGAGAAGAGGTTTCTGTTCAAAGTTTAGAATTTATGTCCCATAATCAATCAAGGGCTGAAGGGAACCAGTCTACGCAGAACAGGAAATTCGGTCGATCCGGTAGCTCTTATCAGCAGCGCCAGTTCTCAGGAAACGGATCCAATAAGGGCGGAGTAGCCGCTGCCCTTACCTCCAGTGGCAGGTACTCGATAATATTTTTGAAAATTAATTAAAGCTTTCTTTTTATGTACAATTTACTGTACGGGATTTGTATGAATATATAGAATTAGGGTCTTAGTGTTGTTTTGTTTAATTTATACGCTCAAACTAGGGTTGTGTTTGTTTTAGATTTCTATGATGGAAAAATGGATTTTATTATTATTATTATTATTATTATTATATTTTTTTTTTTGGTGGAATGCAGTTTTAAGAAGTATAATAAAAATGCAAAAGGAGGGCAATCAAGGGCAGGAACGGTGAGTTCAGATTCCAGTACTTCATCTGAAGCTCATGTTATACAGAATGGTGGTGTTCAACTGCGGCCGAACAATGGTATGTGATGGGATTTATTTTCCGGTTAAACTTTATTTTACCTTTTATTGGAATAATGTTGATTGAAGTGATTTTTATTCCTACTTTTCCCTGTCCATTCCATTTTCTGATACATTGCAATTTTCTTCCTTCTACTGGGGTTTGCTGCAGGAATATTCAATACACCAGTTTCAAGTACAAGTGTAAATGTCAAGCCTGCCAATGTCCCACCTCAAAAAATCACCCAAGTTGTTCCGAGAGTTCCATCTTCGAATGTTTCTACTGTTTTGTCTCATGTTTCGACTGCCAGTTCTGAGTTCAAGGCCCCAGCAACACCTGCAAAAGGTATCGCTCACATTCATTTGTAGCTGTGAAATAATTTTGTTTCTCTCTGGATGCTGAAACACTTCGTTTCTCATATATTACTGTAATTAAAATGTGCAATTTTTATTGTCTATGTAAATGATAATGTTTTTTTTGTTGTTTTTTGGCTGCAGGAGATACATCTGGGTCATTTCCACTACAATTTGGATCCATAACTCCTGGTTTTATGAATGGAATTCAGGTAAGTGTCAATGCATGAAGAGCAATATGCTCTGTTTTTTGCCCTTTCTTTTCTCTAGTCATTTCTTGACTTTTCTTTCCTAAGGATTGAAGGTTTTTTACTTCTGTGTTTTTAGATACCTGCTCGAACAAGCTCTGCTCCACCAAATTTGGTTGAGCAGAAAGGAGCCCAGGTTTGTGGTTTTTGTTTTCATTTTTGTCTGGTTGTTCAGCTGGCATAGCGAGTTGCTTTTATCTGCTATGAGATTAGAGTCATACTCCATCATTATCTAGTGCTAAAACTTATTAAAATAAAATAATATTTGACTGGAAGGGAAGAGTAAGTTATGAAGGGAAAGGAAGATTATTGTGAGGATAGAAATTAGTTATCTTCTCATTTGGATGAAGGAAAAGGAAGATTGCTACAAGAAAAAAAAGGAAGAGAAAACGGAAGAAAACTAAATTTAAGTTCTTAACTCCTCTCTTTCCTTCTGTTATTTCTGTCTGCATGAAGTCTGAACAGTCTTTTACATCTCTGTGTGTATGCTTTTATCCGGGGCTCAATTTATGGTAGTATCCTTTAGCATCTCACAAAATTGTCCTTGTGCCCACAGAATTTGGGTGAACACGAGCATCATTTTTAAGTTGATAACCACCCTGCAAGCATCTTTGGCAAATCAGTGCTTAGTTGTTGTTAGTGGACCTAGTGCTGCAATTAACTTTTTATTCACATTATAATGATAACAATTATGATAATTGTTGTTGACAACTAAATTTTGGTGGTGGATTTCGTGATTCTTTTCTTACAGGCTCGCCATGATTCTTTAAGATCTACTTCTGCAATGCAAACTCCATCCATGCCCAAACAGCAATTGCCAAAGAAGGCTGCAGGGGTTTCTGACCTACCTAATGCTGGTGAAGCTCAGTCAGTGTCCAAACTGAAGAGGGATGCTCAATTTTCATCTGCACCACCTTTGAACCAAGCTCAGAGACCTGTACATCCCATGCCTGGGATGTCCATGCAACTACAGTTTCATCAACCACATGTTTCAGTTCAATTTGGTGGTCCCAATCCCCAAATTCAGTCTCAAGCCATGATGCCAATGTCAATACCTATGGCTTTACCTTTGGGAAATTCTCCGGTGCAGCAGCGACTGTTTGTTCCAGGTCTTCCGCCACTCCCTATGCAGTCTCAAGGAATGATGCATCAGGGACAGGGATTGAACTTTTCATCAGTAATGGGTCCTCATCTTCCTTCTCAGTTAGGCAACGTGGGAATTAATATGGCACATCAATTTCCTCAGCAGCAAGCAGGAAAATATGTTGGTCCTCGTAGAACTGTAAAGATTACACATCCAGACACTCATGAAGAATTGAGACTTGATGGATCACCTGTTCCAAAGTCAAATCCTAATGTGCCACCTCAATCACAACCTATTCCATCATTTTCTCATAACCATCCAATGAACTATTACCCTGATTCTTATAATTCCAGTTCTGTCTTTTTTCATGCTC